CTGCAGAGGCACTTCTAAGCATTGAAGCCTCCGTGCTGTCAGAGCCTCCCCTCCAACAAGGTCCATGGTGCTCACCCGTGTCTCCCAGGGTTTGGCGTACCCACTGCCTACCTAATTAACACAGAGGCATCCCTCTCTTAAGCCAAGTTTAGAAAAGCTGAGCCAGGCAGTTCCTTAGTTTATAACACGTTTCAAAGAACCTCTACTGCACAAGGGGCTTTTTTTTTTTTTTCTTTTCGACTTCTTCTTCAAGTTCCCTTGCCGCCTCGTCTGTCCAGTGGTGTAATGGAAATTTTACCACAGCCGCTCGCGATGAACAAACAGGAAGCTCGTACAACGTGTGGCAATTTGCTACTAGCTGGCTCAAGTCAGTCTAGTGCTGAGGAAGGCCATAAAAGCAGGTGTGGGGGAGGCAGAGTGGAGGAGTGAGCGTGAGAGGTGGGAGACTGAAGCCCGGGCCTGGAGAAGACCAGAGAAGAGAGATTAGAAACAAGCTGCTTTCCTCCTAGAAGAAGCCACAGGTAAGCCTGGCGCGGCTTTCTGCCCCCTCTTTGCCCAGAGGTAATGTCTAATGCGTCTTTGAAGTCCTGCAATGTGCTTAAACTCTGTGCTGTTTTCATCTGCTGTCCTAAGACACTCAGAAATCAGCAAACTTTTCATCGGTCTATTAGATTCAGAGTCAAAGATTAATTAATGAACAGTAATTAATTCATTACAATAGGCATTCAATGTGCTTTTATCTCAAGCCCGTACCCAGGATGCTATTTATCTGTAAGGCTTCATGCATTTAAAAACCCATTGATCACAGATTTGGGATTGAAAAGACAAAAGCGCTTCTTGAACTCAAACCCCGAGACCACTTTGGGGTTTCTCCAGCCCCAAGGAGCTCATTTGCATTATCCACTTACCCCAGAGCTCACCCCAATCAATAGAGTCCTTTTGCATTGCCTGAGAGACGAACCTGGCTCAGCACCTCTTAAGAGAGTGTGAAAATGATAAGACTGGGGAAAGAGAGTAGGAAAGGTAGAAAGCAAGTCCCCCTGGGTCCTCTTCTGAAGAGTTTGGAGACCTCGTGGGGTCTTGCTGGAAGAATTATCCAAACCGAAAACAAATCCCCTATAGATTTTGCAAACCAGGCATTTTTTTTTAAACGTACAGCAGCTATGGGGGCATTTTTCCCCCTGGCACCCACAGCTACCCTTCACGGAGAGCTCGTCTCTGTGTGGGCATCAGGCAGCTTTCAAAAAGTGGACAGGTCCCATTTCCAGTGAGCTCTGGCAACCCACTGAGGGATCTCCTTCCTCAGACCTCAGGGGATTTTGCATTGCTGAATTCCCAAGTTCGGGGCACTGCTGGCAGACCTGCACTAGGCTGCTCTGTCATAGCGGGCCGAATCCCTAGCTTCCTTGCGCTGGTGCTGCGGTGGATCTAGGACTGATCCTAGAGATCTCTAGGACTGATCCTAAAGGCTCTTATTAAGCTTTAAGGAAAACTCAGTATTTGAGGCCTTCAGCCACGGGCCACGCCACCCATGCCTTCCATATGGCTGGTGCGGTGCAGCGAGGTGCCCATCGAAGCCCTGGCTTTGCTTTAAGGAGACAAATGGAGCTGGTCCTGTCTGACTTCAGTGGCCGTGCACACAAAGGGCTCAGCCCGCTGTCAGGATGAAGTCCACTCTCTGGAGGGCTGAGCTCTGAGCTGCAAACCCAGCCTGACCCGCTGCCTCTGCAGAGATCACTGAGCCCAGCCCCATGCCCGCACCGGCTGCCGAGTGTGCACACACAGCCTCAGATGCTGCTAGGACATGAAAGGCTTAGCACCCACCATGCGTGTCATGCACTTCCCCGGAGGGACAGCCTGGCTTTCTGCAACCTGTAGCCCATGACAAGGCGTGTCGTTAACATGCAATGCAAACCACGCAGGGGAAGCGTGGGCTGGAATTTCACAGGAGGATGCACACGCCATGACCGCAAGGATGTGGGCAGGCAGGAGCGCGGGGCTCATCCGGGGTGGGGGGGGGGAGGGGACATGCCATTGAGATCAGACAGAGCAGGGTGGTGCCCAGCCCTTCCCGCCTAAAGCAGCCCCGTCTCCAGATGGGGCAGCCTCCACCTTCACCGCCATGTTGAGTTCAACACACCTTCCCGCTGCTCCTGCACCCACGCTCCGGCCCAGAGCAGCCCTGGCTTGTCCCATCCCTGGCGGCACTGCTAGACCATGCAATTGCAGTCGGACCGCTTGGGCAGATAGCCTGGCCACAGCCTCTGCTGACTCCTCTCCAGTGCCCACAGCCCCAGGGGCCTGGCAGCCTTACCTTGCAACCCCCAGTCTCACCCCTCCGATGCCAAGGTGTTGCTGCCAAGCACTGGTGCCTTCTAACCCCGTCTCCATCCCCACCATGTGAACCGGCCATATCCTGGCACCAGCATTTTGCCCATGCAAACCCCTGCAGATGCCAGGTCAGTGCCAAACTGCCTCTCTCCCAGGGACCTGCTTGTGCAGCTTCTAAGGGACAGTCCCTGCAGGAAGGTTGTACTGATTTAACTAGCTGGCATGTTAAACCTCCTCATTTAAAGCCAGGAAAAGGCTGTGGGGACCCTCCTGGGGTCTGCCTGCAGGAGGAAGTTACTGTACAGGGCACAATAAGTGCCAGGGTGCCCAGGACATGCTCTCTGGGGAGAACAGCCCCCAGCACCTGCTCCCTGTGTCTTTCAACAGGATTACAGGGGTGTCAGCCCATGGCACACACAAGCCCTTGGGTGGGTCTGAGAGCGGCTCTCCGTGATGAAGCTGAAAGCAAAACCAGTTGCAGCTCCTGAATCCAGAATAAAATCATCCACACAGGCTGCTGCCATGTGCCTAACCCCATTTAAGCCCCAGGAGAAGTTCCAGCAGGGCGGCTGTCCCCACGTGACCCCAAAGGTCCCGCACTCGCACGTGGCCTGTCCGCTTCCAGCCGTGCTTGCCCCGCTTCCCCTGGCCCCCGTAGAGCCGAAGCTGCCCGTCTGCTGGGGAAGCATCTCATGAGCAAGCCGTCTCCTCTCCCGCAGGCTCACGTGACCCAGCGGCACGGGGAGCATCCTTAGATCTGCTGGGGGCTGGGCCGTGTGTGGACGATGGGGGTAACCATTACCTGGGGGGCCTGGGTGCCATGATGCCGGGGAAATGCTTCCTAGCAGCACATGGTCACATCATGGACTGCAATGGTGACATCCCTGTGAGCCCTTGCACCAGGTGGGGACATCACGGCACCAGGACTTTCTGAGCTGGAAGTGTCCCCGTGCCATGGCTGGCCCCTTGCCCAGATCAGGGGGTCTCCAGCACTGGCCCGTGATGTTGGAGGGAGGGAACTGGGCTGTAGTGGCGGGGAGGGGGGCAGTTGCAACTCATGCCTCCTCGCGCACGAAAGAGCTGCCTGGGGAGCGGGTTTTGGCTCAAGCCATCCCACTGGGGAGAGACCTGCAGGCACAGAGAAGCGCACATGCCCCTCCAAGGGACAGCTGCCCTGACAGACAGACAGACAGACAGCACTGCCAGGGAGGGAGGCAAAGCCAGGCCTGCTCCATGGACCAGAACAGGACTCCAGGAGGGCTGGCCAGGCGCATCATTGCAGGTGGAAGGGGCAGCCTCCATAGTCATAAGAAAGTCAGGCTGGAAGGGGCCTCCCAAGAGCATCTAGTCCAGTCCCATGCTCAAGGCAGGAATATCCCAGACTAAATCATACCAGGCCACTATCCGTCTCACCTGCTCCGAGGCTGGAGGCTCCACAATTAGTTTAGCAGCCTGGTCCAGTGCTGGACCACCCCCGCAGTCAGACAAGTCCTGCTCATCTCCAACCTCCATTTCCCCTGCTGCAGCTTGAGACCATTGCTCCTAGCCCTGTCCCCCACAGCCACAGAGAAAAGCCCGTCTCCATCCCCTCTGTAGTGGCCTGCACAGCTCCCAGGGCCAGGCCCTGCTCTGCAAGCATGAGGCCACAGGATCCGGCCCACAGGGAAACATTTGCTTGGTGCAGACTCAGCCCTTTCCCCACTCCCACCAAGGGCTGGGAGAAGGGGCTGTTGTCCTCCAAGTCAGGAGAGGTTAGCAGGAGAGAAGCCATGGAGTCTGGCAAGGAGGAGAGACTTGCTTGGCACACAGATCAAACCCACTAAGAGCGGGGGCTACCTGCCCCCCACCCCTCCCGGAGAGTGGAGACCCTGTCCCAGAAGACAGGCACCATTGCGCACTTCTGGAGGTGCCCAAACTGCTCGTGCAAAGGTGGGCACTGGCAGGCAAATGTTTTCAGGAGAGCCAGGTTCAAACCCCCACATGGTCTTTGGTGCATGCATGTTGGGCTGTGCTGCCCGTGGGGGTGGTTAGGGGCCATTATCAGCTCCAGGCAAGTTAAGCAGCTTCCCTGTCTGAAGCCTGCACGTACCTTTCTGTGGCTGCTGCGGCCAGGATCCGGCAGGCTTTCGTGATGCTTCTGCATTTGAAACTCTGCAGAAAATGAAAGGGAAGTCCATTTCATGTGAAAGTCACTTGGGTCCCATTAAAGAAGCTGGCCAGTCCAAGGCCTCTAACTAATCCCCTACCCAAAGCTGGGATGCAGCAGAGCTGGGAGGGGGTCAGCCCAGGCCACGGAGGTGCAGCTCCGGCACCATTATATGTTTAACCAGCTCTTCCTGCAGTAGCCTAGAGCATGGCAGAGCATGGCGTTACCTGGCCTCTCCCATGCTTTAGGACAGCACAGACCCTGCGTGCCTAGCATGTGGGGTGACGGCTGCAACAGAGGCAGGCCAAGGGGTGCCGCAGGAGCCACCGTGGCTGGTCGGGAGAGCAACGTGCAGCTCTGACCCCTCTTTCTTTCTCTCCTCTCCAGCACCTGTGAGGGCGAAGCCGGCTGGAGGAAGGAGCCGGGCCGCTGCCAAGTGAGGGGCGTCCCCAGGACTGTCTAACCTGAGAATGGTGAAACACGAGGGTCAATCTCAGGTTCGTCAGCCCATGAGACGCTCTCTCCAGAGCTGAAGGGCAGCACCGGCCTGCACATCCAGCTAGAAGCTGGTCCCGTGCTGGGGTAAGTGGGGATCTGGGAGTCACTTGCTCCTGCTTGCTCTGAACAGGGACAGAGGCAGTGGGAGGCTTCTTGGGGGCTGAAAACACCCTAAATGCTTGCAGCCAGGGTTACCTGTCCCCCACACCCAGCCTGTGACATTGCCCCAGCCAGGATCCGTGCAGGCCATCAAGCTCCTGAGGGCTCCCCTGCCTCTGCCCAAGTCAGGTACCCTTCCAGGGAGGCTGCGGCACCTGGCTCTCCCTGTCCACGCTCAGGAGGGACGGCAGGGTGGAGAAAGGGCTGAGCCGTCCCATGGTGGGTTGCAACAGGTGGGGCTGGCGCATAGTGTCGGGCTGCATGAAGACCAGCATGCTCCGGGCCCCGGCTGGGCACCTCCCAGAGCAAAGACTCGCCCAAGGGCTGAATGCCTAAATCCAAACCCTGGCATAACACCCCCTGGCCTCTCTTGCCCAATAACTAGAGCACCCACTGGGATGGTGTGGGGATAGACCTGGTCTCAGGCCTCTCTCCATGGACTGCCTGGGCACTTAACCTTCACCTGTCACGGGATAAGTGGTCTTGGCCCTCCACGGAGCCAAGGTCTGGCTAGGGGAAGTTGTATCATCTCCTTGTGACTCAGTTTCCCTGCAGGCACCCATAGACACTCCCAGCCCTGGGGCTGACTCTGCCCTCAGGCTGGGTGGCACTTCCCTGTGGGCTGAGATGGAGCCTCCTTTACTCTCCGTGCCCCAGTTTGTGGTCTCAAAGGGGTCTCAGCTTGGGAAGACCCAGCAGGCACAACAGCCTCTTGCCTCTACCGCTTCATTAGCTGCCCTCACCCTCCTTTCCCCCCCAAAAAGCAAACTTCAATGCCCAATTGCAAGTGCCCCCATTTCAGACAGCTCTGGCCACCCCTGCCCAGCGAGCTTGTCACATCAGAGGCAGGAGAAACCAAGCAAGAAACCCTGCTGTAGGCTTAACAGAAACAGCAACCACAGCGCGCAGCACAGCCCCGGTCTCATGCATATGTGAGGCACTGCCCTGACAGCCCATGCTACAGAAACCAGTCACAAGCAAAGGCCACCTCGCCTGCAAGTGAGAGGGGAGCCTACCGCGAGATCACTGGGGGCCTAGGGGCAAGGACTCCAGCGACGGCGCTTCCCAGTCTCCCCGTTTCTCCAAAGAGCATCAATAAAAGTTGCTCTGCACGACGCGTTGTCTATCATTCAGCTGCACAGATCAGGCCCAGCCTGTGCAGTAGGTGTCTAAACCACTCGGCGCTTGTAGTCCTCCAGCTGCTGGAGATGACGGCGGAGGGAAACTTGGAGTGGTGTCGAGTTTTGCAGCCCCTCTCACCCCCTTGCTTGAGAAGAAGTGTTTGAAAAGTCAGCCATGCTTTGCTGGAACTGAACTTGTCATGGTCCCTAGTTTCTGAGCTGCCACATCTATTTCTAGCCCTTCAAGGGAGAGAGCACTCCCATGACGAGACATTCCTAATTAGGAGACTCTTTGACTTCTAATAGCCATGGGACTGCTTGGGTATTTGGCTCAGAGGATTCAATGAATGGAGCTGATTGATGAGTTTGACAGCCTTGAAAGCTTCATTAACACTTAGCTGCTTTTAGTTTTTACTAGAGGAAAAGAAAGTGACAGACTTGAAAACGGCAATAATTAATCCCCAGGCAGCGTATGTGCATGTGCTCCTCAGCTATGAATGTGTCATTGCTTGGTGATAGGCCCAAGCCGAACAAAATTCCCAAGATGAGCGCTCTAAAAACTATAAACAACCACAATAAGCACTTATCAGACTTGATGCCTTTCATACAATTAAATGACTAATCCTAAAGTACAAGGACTTGAGGAAAATCGTTCACCGGTAAAGTTGCCCTAAGGGACAGAGCTAGCATGAGAGCCCTGAGTCAGCTCTACAGGAGAGACGGACGTGCGCAAAAGACTCTCAGCTAGTTTTTCACTTCCAAATGCAGCTGCCAGGGCTGAGAGGGGGACCCACGCAGGGGATGCCCCTCTCAGAAATGCCTCCCCTTGATGCAGAAGCCCCTGACTGGGAATCAGCAGCAGAGCCCCTAAAATGCTGGGTCTTGTGTCTCCTCCCCTAGCACAGAGAGGATGGTCCTGGCTTCCCCAGTCCTCACTTTTCCCTTGAAAACCCTTTGGGAATCAGGGTCCAGATAGGCACTTCCCAGAACACAGGCCTCTTTGGAAAGTGGGGTGCAAGGGTCACAGTACTTCTCAGGGATATCGGGAGGACTGAGTTATTCGAGGCCTCAAAGGGCAGGCTCCCCTTTGCAGCTCCCAGAGTGAGGAAGAGATGGAGCTTTGTGGCAAGTCCATCCAACCGATGCACGGATGCTGCAGGCTGTGATCAGAGGACTGACACGAGCAGCCTCTGGCAAAGTGTGGCCCAGGCTCACCTAGACGCACGGGCACATTCAGACCCATCAGCTAACAAAAGAAATCCCCACCCACGCAGCCCCCTGCTCAGCTGGGGGTGCCTGCTGGTCTGCAGGACCAAGAGCAGAGCTTGGGTTGAGCTCACGTGCTGCCTTCCAGCACTGTCATCTTCATCAGGCCTGGGGGGTAAAGGAGCTCGGGGGACACCTTAGCCCTGGGACCAGTACCAGAACAGGCACCAGGTGCTTCCAATCACCGAGAAGCTGAGAGCTGCCTTAGACAGTGTCTGCAGTCAGGAGCAAAGGCAGAGGATGAGCCTATGCATCAAGGGGCCTGTAATCCAGTGAGAGCCGGTGATGGCTGCTCATACAGACCCACTCCTAGTTTCACACCGGTCACTTGGGTACTGGACACAGGGTGAAGCAACGAGGCCTGGACCTGCTGGGGTGGGGGCAGGGATACGGACTGGCTGGCATCTTCATTGGTCACCAGTGGCTTTGACATACTTCCTGATCGATCTTCCTGGTTGAACTCATGACACAAGAGCTTTGTTGCACTGGGTTAAAATTCACAAGTGCAACTGAAACCAGCTATGCATCTTGAGCCTGTAGCTACCAGCAGGCTAGTGGGGAGGGGAGCCCAGTGTAAGGGCCCTATCACTTCTGAGGAGTGGCCCTGGGCAAGATGCTCCCCCAGGCTGCCTGCCCCAACACTGGCCCTGCTGCCACCATGGCATTTGCAGCCTGGGTGCTGAGCTGCCCACATAAAACCCTGCAGGGACTGCTGGGGAGAGGCCTCCTTGGCTCTGCAACAAGCTGGATGCTACAAAGGGGTTTCACAGCAGAGCTAGCCATGCAGTGACATAAAAGCGAGGGTTTGAATGGAGACCAGCAAGTCCTTTCAACTACTGTGCCCATAGCATGAGCAGGGTTTGCTGGGGAAGCTATGCCAGCGTTCCCAATATACACCTAGTATTAGACTCCCTGGATCCAAACCTACAGTTTATAAGTCCATGCAAGCTGCCGACCTGAACAGCCTAGAATCAGAGAGAATGAGGGTTGGAAAGGACCCCAGGGGGGTCACATCAAGTCCAGCCCCCTGCTCCGAGCAGGACCAGCCCCAACTACATCATCCCAGACAAGGCTTTGTCTAGCTGGGTCTTAAAATCCTCCAAGGATGGAAACTGCACCACCTCTCTAGGTAACCTATTCCAGAGCTTTATTACCCTCCTCATAAGAAAGTTTTCCCTAATATCTAACCCCAACTTCCTTTCCCTTTGTTCTGTCATTTGCCCCCACTGAGAACAGCCCAGCTCCATCCTCTTTGCAACCCCCTGCAGGGAGGTGAAGGCTGCTGTTCAATCCCCCTCAGTCTTCCCTTCTGCAGACTAAATCAGCCCAGCTCCCTCAGCCTCTCCCCCAAATCATGTGCCCCAGCCCCCAAACCATTTTCACTGCCTTCCGCTGGACTCTCCCATTTTTATACATCCAGGAAACTGGGAAGCAAATGTGGCTGCTGTTACAGCTGATGCACTGGTCCAGCTGCCATCACTCAGCAGGGGCTGCATCTATGCCCTGTCCACATTACCAGGGTAGCATCAGCCTGCTGGTTCCTTACAGATGCTGCAATGAGTCTGCAGCCTGACTCACTGGAAGTCCTTTATTTTCACACTCAACATTTATGAACAAAAGTCCCTTGACTCCCACCCTGCCCGCTGTGCACCCAAGGCAATGCACAGAAACCCCCATAAACTCCAAGCCAACAGCTGGGTGGCTGGTTTCACCCCTTACCCTAAGGAGCTAGACCTAAGATCAGAGATCCCCCATCACCTTCCAGCTTTGGAGCAGAACAGCATCCAGAGCCGGCCCCAAAGCTCACCGTTACCATAGGCATTGCCTTGCTGGCTTCATTTCCACAGACAGTGCTTCTGTAACTACATGCACCGCACAAACCATGGGGTAAAGAAGGAAAATGCCCTGAAACATCAGTCTCACGTCTCCCACTTCAGGATTCAGCAGGACTATTGGCTGGTGAGATAATATAGGCCCCATACACCTGCCAAGAGCTCCAGTGATGTCCATGGTGCTCCATGCACAGTGCAGGGCAGCTTGTAGCAAATGAGCAAATCACAGGGTGTTTCAGAACTGGTTGTGAAATGCCCCTAAATCCCTCCTCACTTCTTCCCCACAAGAGGCATTTGAAGGCCCTGCTAAAGAAATCTCAGTGCTTCTTCCTAAGGATAACAGATGGTTTAGGCACCTTAGTGTTGCCAGTCAAAACCAAGCATGTGCACAGACTTCAATCACATGCTTGGACTTCTAATGTTAATATTGACCTCCCCAGGGCAACTGGGACTGTCTCAGGTACATGCTTATGCATGTAAATGGGGTCGTTTGAGGGACTGAGGTTATGCCTGTGTGTAACAGTGTGCAAGATCAGTCCCTACCTACCTGCAAATGAGTCTGTAGCTTTCTTGCCTTCAAACATCTCGACTCTCTTATGATACGAGGGACTTGATAAATCGCATCAACCTTTCCCCGTGCACTTGCCCTCAGGAATCGCATCGCTATCAATTATTTAACTTTGAAGCCTCCTTTATGCCATTTTCAAAAGCAGATGTCACCCAGAGATGAGGCCGAATATTGTAAAAGACACCGGATCTGTACAGCACGGCGCCTCACATTTGAACCAGGAGGGAGGGAGAAGAGAAAAAGCTTCTATCACCACATCTGCCTTTTCTTTTGATAATGATAGATGCGGGATGCCATTATGAATGATTGCTCAGTTCCATTATACTATGACTTATTACGGATGATGCTTTCACAGTTGTTATCAGCGTCTGTTCCTTGTCATCACATCCACCTTGGGGGAACTGTATTTTTATAAGGTGTAATATCTCAGCACTGGCCTTTATTATCTGAATGAGGCACAGTGCTATGCTGAGACAGGTTAAACGTGTTCTCCTATTAAGCCTTCTATGCTCTAGGGGTCCAGCAAAGCTGTGACGGCCTTTAGAAGGCCAGGATCTCTTCCCATCCACGCACACACAGCCGAAAACATACAGTTGCAGGGGTCTGAGCTTTATAGTCCAACAGAAAAAGAAGGCATTCGCTTCTTTAGACTAAAATGGTGCCAGATCTAAAATAGTGCTGGATAAAAAAAAAGGACAGGAACACAGGAGTTGCCAAAATGGGTCAGAATCAGTCTGCCTGGCCCAGCATCCATCCCATCGGCACTTGGATCCAGTACCAAATATTTCTGAGGACAGGTCAAGACCCACTTTGAGGCAGATGTGAGCTGAGTATTGGGTCTTCGCTGGCTTAAGACTGGCCTCACCCTTGAAGCACGATATTTAATATCACTCCCAAAATGCTGGTCATCCGTGGTAACACTGTGGTGATGGATGTCCATCTAAGGTCCCAGAGCTGTAAGCCACAGCTGGGCTAGCCTGAGAGGTGCCAAAGGGTGGCTGGTTATGTGTGGTCCTCATTTCTAGGTGCTACATCCCTTTAAAGTACCTGAACACACTTCAAGGAGATTTTCAAAGGCAAATCATAGAAAATGAGGGTGGGAAGGGACTTCAGGAGGTCACAGCGAGCTCAAAGCAGGACCAGCCCCAGCTACATCATCCCAGCCTAAGGCTTTGTTGAGCCAGGCCTTAAAAACCTCCAGGGATGGAGACTCCACCAGCTGTTTAGGTAGCCTGTCCCAGTGCTTCACCACCCTCCTAGTGAGAGAGTTTTTCCTAAAACTTCCAGCCACAACTCCCCTTGCTGCAGCTTGAGCCCATTGCTCCTTGTCCTGCCATCTGAGCTCACTGAGACCAGCCCAGCTCCATCCTCTTTGCAGCCCCCCTGCAGGGAGGTGAAGGCTGGTATTCAATCCCCCTCGGTCTTCTCTTCTCCAGACCTAATAAACCCAGTTCCCTTACCCTCTCCTCACACATCCTGCCCCCCAGCCCCAAACCATTTTCATTTCCCTTCACTGGACTCTCTCCAATTTGTCCACATCCTTTCTGTAGTGGGGAGCCCAAAACTGGACACAGGACTCCAGCTGTGGCCTCCCCAGTGCTGAATAGAGGGGAAGAATCGCTGCCCTCGATGTGCCGGCAACGCTCCTCCCCATGCAGCCCTGGGTGCTGTTGGCCTTCCTGGCAACAAGGGCACACTGCTGGCTCCTGTCCAGTTTACTGTCCACAATAACCTCTACGTCTTTTTCTGCAGAACGGCTGCTTAGCCAGTCGGTCCCCAGCCTGTCCCCGTGCATGGGACCGTTTTGTCCTAGAGCAGCGAGAGCACCCAGCTCCTCTTAGATGCTGGGTGCCTCTCTTCTGTGTGCACTTTTGAAAATCTCCACTTAAATATTTTCTTAATGGGATTTTGCCAGGTAGGGACGGTTGTAGTTACCAAAAGGGGATCACTTCATTGCCAAAGGGTGAGGAGGTGGCCACAGGCAGAAAAGGAGGCACGTGTCTATTGGCACATGAGCTATGCTGTCTTAACCGTAGGCAACTCCTGGCATCACCTCTGGCTTGAGATCCCAGAAAGGCCCTTCTGTACCATGCAGACATACTTACTTTTGGACCGAATGTTGCATGAAGCCAACAATCTCAAACAAGTCAAAGGCCCACCTGAGCCTAGCAGCCACTGGGCTGGCTCACCCACGTCTGCAGCTGGGGGCACACGAGGGAATGGCATGGCCAGCATCACATCTGGCTGCTTTTGCCCCTGAAGCTGGAGTGATTCTCCAAGGGGATAGCACTTTGCGGGGGTGAAAATCAGCCATCAAAATGATGGGGCATCTACTAAAGGAAGCAACCCACCAAGAGAGAGCAGGAGAGATGCACCTGCCATTGCAATCTCACCCCCTGGCCAAAGCTTCACGTCACTGCTGCTTTAAATCATTCTTCATTTGAGCAATTTGGGGGCTGAAAGGCTCAGGCAGGCAGCTGACGCGGCTCCCGACCCTCCGAGGGAACATCGGAAAGGCAGCCTCTCCTTTGTCTTGCAAATGCATCCGCCCCTACGGTCGCGCAGAAAGTTCTGCTTAATGCAGCACAGCACCCCAGTCCTGTTTAATGCAGAATTTATTTTTTTCCCCCTCAACTCTTTGTCCCCATGTGAGGAGAATCTTAATTCTGGAAGTGGCACTTCTGCCGTAATAAGTGACTGTTTTGTTCCAAATGCCGAATGATGCAAGCTCCAGACATATAGACACACACAGATCAAATCAGAACCACACACGTGTCCTCTCAGGCCACGATTTGCATGAAGAGGCGCGTATACGTATTGGCAATTAGGCCCAGAAAAGTACGTTTCCTTTGTACTCCGGCAAAGGAGGAAGATTGCAGCCCGGAATATTATTTAGGCTTTTAAGGAAAGTTCTAATCTGCATGATATCATGAAATGAATCACGACACGAGGAGAGCTGGAGCGCTGCTAGTGAGCTGAAGCACCCCGCTCCTCGGCTTGTGCAAGCGACACCTTCGCTTGGATTTTTTTTAGCTTCGGTTCTTCAAACAAGGCGGTCCGGACGGAGAGAACCAAAACTCCTAGAGACGTGGGGCTGAAAGGGACCCGCGGCCTGCGGCAGGGTCAGCCCCGCACAAGCCACCCCCTAAACCCTGCGTGAGACGACCGTGACCCTAAGAAAAGTGCACGCGTGCAAAGGGTTGCCGTCACTAATGCACGTGCCCACGCGTGGTACACCCACTGCCATTCACAGACCGCTTCATACGCTGCCCTTTCTTCTTTAAAAAAAAAAAAAAAAAGAAGCAAGCCTAAAATTGGGACCCTAAGTCCATATTCAGGTATCTAAATATAGGGGTGTGATTTCCAAGAGCCCGGAGACCCACGCAGGCAGCCACCGAGATGCCAAGCGCTGGCAGCCAGCCAGCCAGGCCGGCAGGATTTAGGAGCTGAGCCGGAGGCGTTTGTTTGGCATCGCTTGCGCCTCAACGGGCAACGCTTCCCAGAAGCGGGACGCGGGCTGCCGCGGGCCCCCTGCGTTGCCCCCGGCCGGCTGGGGCCGGCGAGGGCGCCGTAGGGCTGGCGATGGGGC